CTGGAGTACAGTGACACCGTCTGGGCTCACTGCAACCTCCACCTCCTGGGTTCAAGCAATTCTCTTGCCTCAGCTTCCCAAGTAGCTGAGACTACAGGCATGTGCCACCATGCCTGGCTAATTTTTGTACTTTAGTGGAGACGGGTTTCACCATGTTGGTCAGGCTGGTCTCGAACTCCTGACCTCAGGTGATCTGCCCACCTTGGCCTCCCAAAGCGCTGGGATTACAGGGATGAGTCACTGTGCCTAACCCCAGCTGGGTGTATTTCTTCCAGTGGGACCACAGGGACTAGTGGCTAAGGAGAAGAGTCCTAGACCCAGCCCATCCCATGCCCTTAAGCAGTGAAAGAATGAGAAGGTGAAATCTTACCAGCTGGAATCCCACCACCTGCTTGGACTCGATGTGCATGACATTTGAAGCCTTGTGAATGATTCTCCCATCAACTTTTCGCTTCCTCCCTGTGAAGAAGTCCCTGGCCTTGCCCTTCTCGTACTGATCAAAGATCAGCAGCGGGATCCGGTGGGAGAATCTGGGCTGCATTCCCTCCAAGACGGAGCTCCAGGACTCCGCCTCTCGGCGCTTCCGGGACTCTGGAAAGCCGTACAGGGACTTCAGGGCCTCTCTGGTCTCCTGTTCCAAGTCAGCTAGAAGGTTGCGCACAGCGCTGTACCTGCCAAGGTGGGGAGGAAAAGTCAGGGAGAGGGGAGGCGGCACTGGCAGAACCCTGGTGCTCCTCCGGGTTGTTTTCCATCAACACATGTCAGCCTCGTGCCCACCTTTCCCAGCACCTTGGCAGAGGAGACCACGCCTTTCATGACTTGACGCATCCAGAGTGACCCTGGCTCCCGCGAATGAGGAAAGGCTCATGCGTGACCTGTGTGTGACTTCCTGTGGCCTCACCTCTGCCGCCACTATCTGGTTGCTCTCGGGGTGTGTTGATGAATTTGTCCCGACCAGCATTTCTGGAGTGGTGACTGTCAGGTGCCTCCCATAAACCAGCCACACTGAGGACAAGTAAATAACTGCCAACCAACAGTCTACCTAGTGGGCAGGCTCCTTCTCCACCCAGCTCACTCCGCCTCTGCCCTCTGATTGTCCTCAAATCTGTGCTGGGGGGAAGGAGGGTATAACTGTTACCTCGACGACCCCCAGGAACACAAAATAGTTATAAAGGAGTTACCTTCATGAAGCACAATATACCATCTTTTAATTTTCACAAATCAAATGGTTCCAGCCTCCTCTTAACTCTCTCCTCTCTCCTTTCTCTCCCTTGCTCTAGGCATAGGCAGCAGAGCATAGCAATTGAGAGTAGAAACCCTAGAGCCAACCTACCTGGGTTTAGGTTCCCCATCTTGGTACCGGCTACCTTACCTTGGACAAATGTCTTAGCCTTTCTGTGTTTTAGCCTTCTCCTTTGTAAAGTGGGGTTGTTGGGAAGGTTCAATGAGTTTATTATATATAATAAACACACACAGATATACATATAGATAATTAAATGGCCTCTATTGTTGTTATTATTTTAGAGACAGGGTCACTCTGCTGCCCAGGCTGGAGTGCAGTGGTGCAATCATGGCTCACTGCAGCCTAGAACTCCTGGGCTCAAGCAATCCTCCCACCTTGGCCTCCCAAGTTGCTAGGACTATGAATGTGTGCCACCACACCTGGCTAATTTAAAATAAAATGTTTTTAGAGATGGGGTCTTGCTCTGTTACCCAGGCTGGTCTCGAATTCCTGGCCTCAAGCAATCCTCATGCCTTGGCTTCTGAAAATGCTGAGATTTCAGGCATAAGCCACTGTGCTTCTACTGTTAATTATATTAGTGTTATTATATTGATTAAGACTTTATTCCTCCACTACAATATAAGCTTCACTAAAGCAAATACTGTGTTTGGGTTGTTCAGTTCTCTATCCCAGAACCTAGTACAGTGCATGACAGTTTATAGATGCTGAGAAAATTATTATGGAACAAATAATGAATGGAAAGAAGGAAGGAGGACCAGAGAGAGAGAGAAGGAGGGAGGGAGAAAGAAAGAAGAGGAAGACATGGAGGGTGGAGAAAGAGTCTTAGACTTGATCTTGATTTGGAGCTTTGCACCACCTGGGTGATGACTCTGGACAAGTTAGTTTCCTTTGATAATCTTCCTCCCCTGCTCTTCTTCCCTTCTCCCCACCCCTGCTCTGACAAAGTCTGCCTGATTCTGATCTGCCTCACGGACCAGTTTTCCATAATCCTGAGAAGGACTCTGATGACCTATTTAGAACAGGTCCTGCCGAGGATGATGGGGCAGTCCCAAGGGCTGATCACACCCAGAGCCTGATGATCTCAATTAATGGGGCTGGGTTTATTCAGATGAGGGTTTGGGGCAGCTGAGGTGCTCACAGAAGTCACCTGGGTGTCACTTCTGAGTCAGCCTTGAGCTCACTCGTGCTGCAGGGGGAGTGAGCATGTGAGCTTGGAGAACCAGGGGCGCAGATGCGGATGGGGGTTGGCTAATTTGGGCTTAATATGGGGAGTGTGCAGAGGGGGTTAGTTCGTTCCAGGCCTCTTCTAAGTGAAAAAAGCCTGCAGCTTCCTCTTTCTGCTCTCCCCGGGCTAGCCCAGCCTCGGAAATCATTGATGGGGTGGGTGTGGTGGCTCACTCCTGTAATCTTAGCACTTTGAGAGACCAAAGTGGCAGCACCAGTTGAACTCAGGAATTTGAGACCAGCCTGAGTAACACAGCGAGACCCCATCCCTTAAAAAACAAACAAACAAAAAAATTAGCTGGATGTGGTAGCATGTGCCTATAGTCCCAGCTACTCAGGAGACTGCAGTGGGAGAATTGCCTGAGCCCAGGAAGTCGGGGCTGCAGTGAGCTATGATTGCACCACTGCACTCCAGCTTGGGTGACATGAGACCCTGTCTCCAAAAAAAAAAAAAAAAAAAAAGGCCAGGTGCAGCAGTAGCTCACGCCTGTAACTCCAACACTTTGGGAGGCCAAGGCGGGTGGATCATCTGAGGTCAGGAGTTCAAGACCAGTCTGGCCAAACATGGTGAAATCCCGTCTCTACTAAAAACACAAAAAATTAGCCTGGCATGGTGGTGCCCCCCTATAGTCCCAGTTACTTGAAAGGATTGTTTGAACCTGGGAGGTGGAGGTTGCAGTGAGTCGAGATCGTGCCATTGCATCCCATCCTGGGCAACAAGAGTGAAACTCCATCTCAAAAAAAAAAAAGAAAAGAAAAAAGAAAGAAAGAAAAAAGAAAAAGAAAAAAAGTCACTGATGGTTTGAAAACTTGGCACATACAGATTTAGAACCGGGGAGAGGGCTGTTTACCAGTGTTAGCAACAAATTCAAATTTCTAGAAAGCACGTTTGTAGGCTGGAATCGACCTCCAGGCTGACAGTGTGTCACTTTCGGGAGGGGCTTTGGCCTCCGTAGGGGGCCTGGCTCCCTACTGGCATTTCCCTGCTCATGCCTCTTACTTGTAGGGGTTGATATTGCAGATGGTGACCGCAGGAAAATCCAGCTTCCGGAAGTGAACTTTGATGGAAACCGAGACAGTATAGAAGGAGAAGACGAGGAGGGCGCACTGCCAGAGGATGAGGGCGACGGCAGTCAGTGTGAACCCGATCCAGAGGAGGCGGCGCAGGCGGCCGCGGGACACCACGATGCGGCGGCAGCCATGGGTGTTGGTGTTGAGGCAGTACCACCGCATCAGCTCTTTAATGGTCGGTGCCTGAGGGCCCGTCACGGGCAGATTCTTCTTGATCTTGGCTTTGATCTTCTCTCCGGGAGCCATGGCGAGGATGGGACTGTGAGGACGGGACTTTGAGGACGGGCGTGCTGGAGGGGCAGAGAAGAGAAGCAGGTGAGCTGTCAGGCCCCAGTGTGTCCCTGGAGGCCACAGCCTGAGAAACACCAGTCCACGCGCCCTTAGAGGCCTCCTTCCTCTGTTCCTTGTGGCTTAGACACTTTGCCTTCCGAAGCCTTGGCCCCTTCTCCACGACGTTTGGTTTTGGCCACCACAGCTGCCAGAGAAGCTGCCTACTTCTCTTACGGCCCCCAGGCCTAGCCTCGCGGGGGCTGGGTGAGGTGCAACCTGCGAAGCACTGGCTGGACAGGCTACAGGACCTTTCCCCGGGTTCCTGGGGCAGGAGCTCTGGAAGCAGCCCCATCAACTTTCTTATCAGGCAGGAGTACCCGTGCCTTATCACCTCCAGTGGCCCGCCTTCCTCGAGGGCAGCATTCCTATCTCATTATGCCCCCTGGTGCCTAGCACAGTGTCTGGCACAGAGCAGTGCTCCTCAGATGGTAACTGACAGATGAAATCTGCCAAGAAAATTTCCCAGCAGCCACCTTAGATCATGTTCCTGGCTGTATTTTCCCCAGCTTTTTCTCTGAGGCTTTATTATAAGTGAAACGATTTCTCTTTCCTTTCTTCTCTTTATAGTCAAGCTCTTAATGTTTCCAGATCACCTGATGTAACAATAACCTACAACTGTTGGCCACCTAGTGTTTGCCAGGCACCATGCCATATTTCCTTGATTCTAATATACCATTAATTTGGAGAATGCCCTTGATTTAATAACAGCTTTGGAGGAGAGTACCAGTATTGGAAAGCAAATTATCACATTCATCAATGTACACGATGCATCTCAACTATACAAACTTTACAATGAGAAATAATTTTAGAAGTGAACTAATATACTACATAAAAACGTATTTCATGTTTATAATATATAGTCTCATTAGTCTCATAAGTAAATTAGTCTCTCTCTATAAATACACACATAGCCTATATATATTTCATTTTGTGTTTCAACAGTTTCATGAAGTAGGCATGCTATTATTATCTCCATGTTACAGAGGAGGAAAATGGGCTCAGAGAGGTTGAATATCTTGGGCAAGATGATGCAGCTGGTTAGTGGAGGAGCTGGATGGAACCTTGCAGCCTTTACCACTATGGCATTTGCCTTTGAGGCGCCTGGTAGTATGCTGGGTGCAGAGAGTTAATTAACAGTATCAAGAACTAAAGGTAGAGGAAAGAGAAGGAACCCTGAGCTATTTAATTTATAAACTCTGAACAGTGCACATGACCACTTCACAAGACTTGTGAGCACTAGTATTGGGGATGGGGGGTATATGAAAACTGTGTCCCCCTATGCCTTCTACAGTGACAGAGGCAAATTAGGACATGTCCTAGGGTATACAGGGTGGTCCCCAGGACCAGAAAGGGCCTGTGTCTGTGACTTCGATGTGCCCCATCAAGATTTTTAGGCAGGATTCGGGTCCTGCAGAGTTATGGTTTTTTTTCCCACCCTGAACCCATGAAATATGGGCTAAAATTGGAAGCTGGGGCAAAGCTAGGAGGCTTCCAAGCTTATGATACTAGTGGGTTTGAGGTCTCTGATGCAAAGGAAACGGAGTGCTGGGCATGGAGGTGAGATGCCCAGAGCAGCCAAACTGCTCTAAACCCTCCATGAATTGATATGATTTTACCGGGATAAAGAACACCATCAAAATGATGCTAGTAGCTTCTGGGCAACAGGAATATAATTTGTTTTGTTTTTATCACTTAAAATATTGTCTATCCTTACAGACCCTGTCACTACAAAAAAAAAAAAAAAAAAAAAAGAAAGAAAGAAAGAAAGAAGAAAAGAAAGAAAAAAATAGCAAGAGTTTGTTTTTAAAATCTAGGTCCAGGTTCAATTGCTTGTCAAATAAATAAAACTGCAGCCCTTCTCTGTGAATGTTCAACAGAAGCTGTGATTCTGGAAGCTCCTATCCCCAACTCTCAGGGGTCTCTCTGCCCCATCAGCTCCTTCCCCAGAAATGACCTTGACCCCAATGGATCAGTCGACAATGTCAGAGGAGCCCCAAGTGAAGGAAGGGAACTGACCTTGCACTTTGCAAAACAGATAAAATATTCACATAAATAATATTTCAACTTCAAAGCAAAACAAGACTGTAGCTACCATTAGATTATGCAGCCCGATCCAACGTGATACCTTGGTGGAAGAATTACTGGCTGATATCCAGCACTTACTCTTCTAAGTACTTTGTAGGTGTCACCTCATTTAATTTTCACAAGAATCTTCTGAGGTAGGTGTCACAACCACCCCCATTATACAAATGAAACAGATGCTGACAGGTTAAGTAGCTTGCCCAAGGTCACACTAGAAAGTGGCTGAGCGGGGATTTGCACCTAGGAGTCCCTTTAACGACTAGCTAGGCTGCTCCTCAATCATTAATAATAATAACAGCAGCGGGAAAGGCAGCAATAATAGCAGCTATCACTTATTCATCCCTTTCTCTACTCCCAGGCATCCCACTCAGTCCTTTTCACACACTACCTGATTTAATCCTCACTACAGTTATATGAGGTGCTATTACCCGGCCCATTTCACAGAGAAGGAAACTGAGGCACAGAGGTTAGGTAATTTGCCCAAGACCACACAGATAGAAAGGATTTGAAGGATTCTTTAGAATTCCACGGTCCTGGCTCGCCGCGGCGACTCCGTGCACCCCCTCCTCGCCTACCACCGACTTTGCCTGTCCCCCATCCCACAGTGCAGGACCCCAAAGCTTGGGGAAGGATGAGAGATTTGCCCCAAGTCTAGCGTTGGGTTCGCTGGACCGGAGAGTTCCCGGCCAGTGCCCGTCCCGGGGGGCGACTCCTGTGCAGAAATCACTTGAACTCAGCCCTCAGCCTCAGGGCCGGGACCTGAGCTCCTACCGAGCGACCCCGCAGCCCCTGCCCTCCCGGCGCGGAGCAAGCGGGCGCTGTCCTGTGAGGAAGGCACGTCTGCCACGGGGAGCCCCGGCTGAAGACGCTGGAGCGAATCCAACCAGCCCACTTCAAGTGTTTGCTTCTTTCTGCACCATGTTTTTCCGGAGAAAGCATTCCAGAGGGTAGAAGGAACTACTTAGCGGACAGGTCCACGCGACTCATCCCAGCAGGGATGGGGGCTGAGCAGGCGCTGGGCAGAGAAAAAAGGCGAGGTGCGGCCCAGGACCCCCAGACCGCCGGACTCCGGATACGGTTCCTGAGTGGCTCTCGACTGGCTCCGTGCTCCGGGTCACGGCGTGGGTAGACCCCGGAGAGCTGGCCGCTACCGCCCTGGCAAGGTGTCCCAGCATCCCGGGCACCGGGAAGCCGCCACCGGCTGATGCTGGCTC